TACCGTAGGAGGTGGAGATCTATGCAACTCCACATTGTTCAGATGGTACAAGATCCATTAGAGTGCTGACTGAGGTGATGCCAGGCAAACACAGCGACGAGGAGGAGGATACGGGTACAGATGTGCAGTATCAGGGACCAACGGTTTAGGTTCAGGATTCTATTATGGTTCAGAGACTGAGGAGAGACATACGGATACCAGCATGGTATATGACACAGTAGTTGCGTATGCACTTCTGGTGGAGAGTATCGATGAGTTGGTGCCTACTACTTTCAGAGAGGCCGAGCAGAGTTCGGAGGCTGATTCATGGCATGTAGCTATGCAGGAGGAGATGGAGTCTCTTCACAAGAATGATACATGGGAGCTTGTTGATCTTCCAAAGGGGCGGAAGGCAATTGGTTACAAGTGGGTATACACGAAGAAGGAGGGCATTGAAGGAACTCCAGTGAGGTTCAAAGCTAGGTTGGTTACGAAGGGCTATGCACAGAAGGAAGGTATTGATTATAACAGGATTTTCTCTCCTGTGGTGAAGTACTTTTCGATTCGGATTTTGCTAGCTTTGGTGCCACAGTATGGTTTGGAATTAGATCAGTTGGATGCGAAGACGACATTTCTTCATGATGATCTTGATGAAGAAATATACATGACTCAACTATTGGGATTTTGAGCTATAGGGAAGGATAAGTTAGTTTGCAAATTGAAGAAATCGCTATACGGTTTGAAGCAGTCTCCTCGACAGTGGTATAGACGATTCGATGGATTTATGATCGGTCATTCATATACTCAGAGCCAGTTTGATCCTTGAGTGTATTTTCGTAAGTTGAAAGAAGGTGCGTATATTTATTTGTTGCTTTATGTTGATGACATGTTGGTTACTTCTATTTTTAGATTCATTATAGATGAGTTGAAGATTCAGCTTTCAAAGGAGTTTTAGATGAATGATTTAGGTGAGGCAAAACACATTTTAGGGATGAAGATCGGCAGAGACAAAGAGAAGGGCAAAATTTGTTTGACACATGTGGCTTATTTGAAGAAGGCTCTACAGCGGTTTAATGTTAGTATGGATATAAAGCTAGTTAGTGTACCTTTGGCAGCCCATTTGAAGCTTTCAGTTAACCTTTCACCGAATACAGTTGAAGATAGAGAGTTGATGTCGAAGTCTCTAAATGCGAGCACAGTTGGGAGCTTGATGTACACAATGGTATGTATGAGGCCGGATTTGTCACAAGCAGTAAGCATGGTTTCAAGATACATGCACGATCCAGGAGTGGGTCATTAGGACGTCATGAGATGGATTTTAAAGTACATTCGAGGTACACTCAATGTTGGTTTGGTTTATGAGCGGTACACTAGAGGTGGGTATTTATGCATTGGCTATGTTGATTCGGATTATGCCGGGGATTTGGATAAGCGCCGGTCTACTACAAGGTGTAGGCTGTCTAAAAATTACTATAGATAGCTGATCCCCATCAGATACCGAGGATGGAAATTACAATTTGACGCTTCCAAAAGGCTATAATTTGAAAACTTTCATGTAGATCGATGAAGGTTACAATTTGACAACCTTCACAACAACCGATAAAAGCTCTAATTCAACAGCCTTCACAATCAACATCGGGAGTTATAATCTGACGACTCTTATATTTTCAAGGAGTCAAGACAAAGGTTACAAGATGTCAATCTTTGCAATGCTCTAGAAAAAGAGACTACAAATTGACAGCCTCTTCAAATCAAAACGCAAGTGGCCTCGTTCCAAAGTCAAAGAAATGTAAACGCAGCTCAAACCTGGCCACAAACGCAGCTCACATTCAGCTCCAAACGCTGCAAACATAGTTCAGATCCAGCTGTCAATGCAGCTCATGTTCGGCGGCAAATGCAGCCTCTGAACGCTTCAGACGCAGCTCAGATTCAGTTACTAACGCAGCTTCTGAGCGCTACCAAATGCAGCTTCCAAGTGCTGCCAAATGCAGCTTCCAAGCTTCCAACACAGCTTCCAAAATACTACAAACGCAGCTTCTAGATGCTACGTACGAGCTTCCAGACGTTGCGTTCGAGCTTCCAAATGCTGCGTTTGAACGCATAATTCAATTCATGCCAGAACGCAATTCTTGCATTTGACTCATTCAAACACGAGCTGAACAGTTTCAAAACCGTTTCTCACGATCTGAGGGGATCATAACTCTATTCATGAGTAATTTAAGGGGCGGTTACATCCTATAAGCCCCACAAAGGAGCGATTTTAGGGGCAGTTACACCCCCTAATCGTCTATAAATAGCTGAAAGATCAGCTTAGTTCGGACCTTTAGATCTTTTGAGCATTTTGGATCTAGAGATCAGCAAAGGGCTTTTTCAATCATCCGATCTGGAAGCATTCTTTAGCAACAGAACTCCTTGGAGTCTTGGCACTTGGCTTATTAACCAAATTTCGGTTCAAATCAACTCTTCTACAGAGTTTAAACTCACACAGAGTTCTTAAACTCATTAAGAATTATTTTTAAACTTTCCACATAAGTTTTATCGACTTTAATCTAGCGAGGTAAAACGTCAGATCGTCAACGAGAAGAAAACTCGAAGTGAGTTTTGAGGGAGGCATCTCATCGACACCAAGAAGAGCCCAGGTTAAACAAAGGGAATGATCTCCGTCGACCATTCTCTCTTTTGTAAATCGGCTCCGTCGACCATTCTCTCTTTTGTAAATCGGGATTCCGATTGAGAAGATTGTAATTTCTTTTTTTAAAGTTTTTTAGAGAGAAATTGTATTGAGGACGTTGTAATCATTCTTTATCTAAATCAGTTAGAGAGAATAACATATTTTTGTTCTTAATTTTCTTCTTCCAGTTTTCCCACCAAACACGGGGTATGTGTTCACTTTGACCATGCACCTGTGTGCTGGAGATACACCTTACAGTCTATGGTGGCTTTGTCGACGACGGAGGTAGAGTATATGACGATTACAGAGGCTGTGAAGGAGGCTATTTGGCTTCGGGGACTTTTGAAGGAACTTGGTATTTCGCAGTGGTCCGTCACCATTCGTTGTGATAGCATGAGTGCTATTTATTTGGTGAAGAATCGGGTTTTTCATGCGAGGACGAAGCACATTGACGTTCGTTATTATTTCATTCGAGATGTTCTTGAAGATGACGATGTGGAGATTGTGGAGGTCCACACGAAGGATAATCCGACGGATATGCTCACTAAGGTGGTTCCGAGCAATAAGTTTAATCATTGTAGAAACTTGTTGCACATTAGTGATTGTTGAGGCCGTTGACGGCCATTTGGATTAACTACGTGCGACTTGATCCCTTGGGAGAGGGGTACGTAGGCAACCACATGAGTGCAACCGAGTTTGGAAAGACGACACAATGATGCTCTTTGTTTGGTGTCGGCTCAGTTTTGGAAAAACTTCACCGAGGTGGAGAATTGACAGAAAAAGTCAAATGACAGAATTTGGTTCTGTCCGGTCGACCGCGGCAACATGTACGGTCGACCGGTAACGTGCATAGACTCAGGGAAAGCCTCTGGACTTTTGACGGTCGACCGCAGCAACATGTGCGGTCGACCGCCAAACCCTGTAGTCGTTTTTAGTTTCTGTCATTGATTTCGGTCGACCGTGACTTTCTCTGCGGTCGACCGCGTGTCGTCCTGGGCCTTGGGCTTTTGTTTCCTGTTCGCTTTGGGATTGTGTTTTGGTATATATTGAAACACGATTTTCTAGAGTTTCGAAGGTGAGATTAGAGAGACTTCATATTAAGAGGGAGAATTTGTGAGCAAATTGAGAGATCTTTTGGTTGGGTTAATTTGAGTGTTTGAGAGATTTGTAACCATTTGTACTCTCTTTTTGATTTAGTGGAATCTCCCTATCCTCTCCCCGTGGACGTAGGCAAATTGTCGAACCACGTATATCTCTGTGTTTGCGATTGGTTTGTCGTATTTTGGATTGGATTGCACTCGTGTTTGGTTTGGTTATCTTCTTCTGTGCCTCACGAACTCGTTTGGTTGTGTGAGCACACTTCCGTACGGTGCGCAACATGAATTACGTAAAATTAACGGCTATTCCGATGCTATCGGTCAACACATTAACGGAGGGTGCTTAGTACTAATAACAACGATTGGAAAAAAAATTCCCTCATAAATAGTGTATTTGCTAATGACGGATAGTCATTAATACCTTTTGATAACTAGAGTTTGGTTGGTCCGTCGTAAATCATGGTCATTAATAAACCCTTTTCTTGTAGTGGTAATCGCCAAATCTTTGCAAATGAACAAAATCGTTGGTACCGACAAAATCATGAAGAATAAACAATAGTTCTAATTTCCAATTAACTTTAATATACAGTATAATATAATGTATTAAGTTATGACTCATGTAATATTTTATGGCTATACATATTTTTATTTTATTGCTCGTCTGAATGCAAGGGTTACTCTTTGTTTAGTTTTTAAACTCATGTGAGGATCACGCGATAAACATAGTTTGGCATTTGTCACCATCTATGTTGCAACCGAGTCCTAACTATACTCAACCCCCTCGTATTTATTTAGGCTTCGTTTGGTACGCGAGAATGAGGTGGAATAAAATGATCATTCTTACTTCTCATTCCTTCCTACCAAACACACTCTTTTTTTTGAAGTTGGAATGTCCATTCCCACTTCTCATCAATTCCCACTTTATGTGGGAATGAGTATTCCTAATGAAATAATAGGGAATGAGCATTCTCACTTAAATGAGAATCAATAAAATATACAATTTTAAAATACGTCCATTCCAACTTCATTTTATAATTACACCCAAACGTGAGAATGAGAATGACTATTCCATTTCACTCTTTCTTCCATTCCATTCTTATTTGAGTCCATTCTCGTGTACCAAATGAGGCGTTATAACAATAAATTCAGACAATTACACCCAAAGGGAGAGTCAAGAATCAATCAGCACATCCACAATGTTGGTGCCAGAGAAATCCTACAAGGAGAAGAATCATCAGAATTATCCTTGGAACTCTTCAAACAAAAACTATCGAAGCTTTAACTACCCACGTGGATCAAAAGAGACGTGATTAATTTACAAAAAATGGGGGGAAAAGAAATTACATCAGAAGTTCAGAATCAAACTGTTCTTCGATCAATAGACATTGCGACAACTTGGAAGCCAAAAAAAAGGGTAGTTGCTTTAGATTACGCTCTAAAACATCTCAATTGTCTCAGGACCAGAGGTTACTTCTCTCATTTCAAGTCAAGAGGGGAAAATTCCTTGTCCTCCAAAGAAAATCATACAGGGAGGCGCGCAGATTTGTCACATTTCCAACATTAATGTTAAACCCGGCGATTAATAACCATTCTAACTTTTAACTTTTTGCTGGGACGAAAAATGCGATCTCCTACCTTCGTTTAGGATTTTCTATAGAGGGCTCTCAGGGGCTTTTCCCCACCTCCCCAGGATGGGCTGCATTCTGATCTGAAGAAAGCTTGAAATTTGTTAGCTCAAAAAGGTTACGACTGCATTCAGAGATCAATTCCTCTGAATTCCTCCAGGAACAAACACAGGCAACGAATCCCTCCTTCCTTCATTGCGTCCTGCATTTGGACCCGTCTCAGTCTCAGTCTCCGGTCTCAATCTGATGCTTCCCTCAGCCCTCGGCCCATCTCTCGCTGCTGCACCAAGAAGTGGTCCCCCAAAAAATATCGACTGCCCAGTGTACGTTAATCTCTCAGGCCCAAACATGTGGGTATTCTGCCTAGCGTTCGTAGCTGAAACCCTAGTTTCGGCTGGCATTGACACGTACCGACCCGCTTCTTGGTCCCACACAACCGACGCCCTCGGAAGAGGCCCTCTCAGACCCAAAGGACGATCAGGGAGAGGAAGGTGAGCTGGCATTGGGTTAGGATTCAGGCTCACACTGACGACCGGCTCATGGACCGCAGTCCAAGCCGGACTACTCACGCTGCTAGCGGTTGGTGTACAAATCTCATAATCTTCTTTGCTCGCAAGACTCTGAGGATAAGAGTTTCCAAGGGGAGGTAGCCTAGCTTGTGAGGCCTTTGGGTCCAAGCTCATGCTGCTTCTGATACTTGCATTGTCACTGGAGGCAGCATCTGAAGGGAAGCGGTGACGTCCGTCAATAGGCCTGAGGACCGAGGAGGAGGCTCGAGCTTTTGCCGCGGCCTTAACGGCCTCTCCAGCATCAAGCTTGGCAAGCTTCCATGCACTGATCTTTACGGCCTTTTTGGCTTTTGAAGCTCGTTCAGCTTGACCAGCAGCATCAGGATCGACAGTGGAGGAAACCATTCCAGGTTCGAGATGATGAATCACTTCATCCTGTTGATAAAAATGCACATTAATAAGAATATGTTAAATTCTCATATATACAGATTTATGGGGTAGCACAAATGTACTGGCTTTAAGACAAGCACGAACTTCACGAACAATGGTCATATGGAAGGAGTCGCATTTTCAATATCACAATTCAATAGCACATTCTTCTTGTATTTGGTTGACTAAATAAATATCTTCAAGGAGATGGCTAAGCTGCAACTAAAATTTTTGGGGCTCTTTTAGATCGGAGTTTTTCCATAGTTGCGCAAAAGCACCCTACTCAACATCTTCAAATTGGACTCCTATTTGACCATGATATGCCTATGAAATTGAAGGAAAAGTCTATAAGATGATTGTAAGACCAAGAATGCTTTGTGAATCAGAAGACAATTAAGAAGCAATGTGAAGAAATGAGGGTAACAGAAATGAGAATGTTACTATGGACTTGTGGATATGCACTAAGAGAAAGTTAAAGGTGGATCCTATTGAGGATAGAATGAGAGAAAATTGATTAAAATGGTTTAGCCTCATGCAATGGAGGCCACAAAACGCATCAATTAGGAGAGATGATAAGATTATAATTAATGAAGCAAGGAGGACAAAAGGTAGGCCTAAAAGAATTTGGTTGGAAGCAGTTAAGAAGGATATGATAGTATTTAATAGAGGAGATGATCCTAGATAGAATTGAATGGGAGAATATGATTCATGCATATGACTGTAAAGATTTGGAATAAAGGCCTTTTTGTTGTTGTAGATGTTCTAGTGCAACGAAGGTCATCCTATTTTATAAATAATTTTCAAAGAACTACTTACTGAGGACAATTTGCAAAACAAAAAATAAAATCTCGCAGAAAACTTTTCATCAAGTAGTTACAGGGGAAAACATAATAAGTACTTATACAAGCCCATTAACGTCACATAACACAATCATATTTTTCATTGAACCAGGTGCATGGAATAGATCGGAGAAGTATGTACCTGATGATCCAAAATCCTCGGTGGAGTGCACCAGACACCTTTATACTGGAGGCCAAGAGAGCTTCCAATACTTAGCCCTGTAGTTGCCGAATTTGTTGGCGAATACATAGGATTTGTACCCTCTTCATCAGCAGATCCTGGAGGTGCTTCGCTCATAGCTTTCATTGCCACAACATATTCATAGGTTGTTATCCCCTGTGTCATACAAGTAATTCAAATTAATGTTAAAACTAGTAAAAGGGTTCGAAATGTGTTTAAACTTCTCGGGTTGAACCTTTCTGATCAGTATGATGTGGAAGAAGAACAGTTCTCCCAAGGGTACACATGCCAGGAGCGAAAGTGCCGTACAAATGGCCTGTAAAATTCATTTCTATGAGAACAGATATTAGCATAGAAGTTACAAGACATCAAAACAAACTATTTTTATCAGAGAAAAATATCATGAACTTTCATTGAAGTACCAAAGACTACTCATGAACAAATACCATGAGCTTTTATTTATGTTTTACAAAACTTCAATGTAATTTTGAGAGGACGTCATTAAATTGAATCTCCATTAATGCCATGTAGCTGCCATGAATTTTCAGGTATTATCGTGACACTGCAATTGCATATAGGTTTGCGACCGTAAGTGGTAATTTTTAATTTTTAATTTTCTTTTTTTGTTGGCTTGAAAGTTTGTGGATATTTCTCCCATAAAAATTCTTATGGTAGTTTTGTATGAAATCCTAATAGTTCATGATAGTTTTTGAGACATTAACCCTAAAAGAAACTTCCTCAAAGAAAGCTATTCCATATCAAGGAAGGAACTAAGTAATTAACAATCTGAATTAAGTCATTAAGCTTATCTGTGTGTTTGCAACATTATGTTGAAGAGAAACATAACAAAACACCTTAATTGTAGTGTAAGTAATGGAATGAAATTTTGTTAGCAAGAGAAGAAATTTCAGTAACAAAAGGATGTTGACATTTCAACAAAAAGTACAATAACAAGTTTCCAGACATGCAACGTACTACAACAGAATTTGAATTAAATTATTAAGCTTATCTGTGTGTTTGTAACATTATGTCGAAGAGAAACATAACAAAAACACCTTACTTATAGTGAAAGAAATGAAATGAAAATTTGTTAGAAAGTGAAGAAAATTCAGTAACAACAGGAAGCTGACTTCTCCACGAAAAGTACAATAACAAGTTTCCAGACATGCAACGTACCACGACAGTAGCAAAAGGAGCACGAGAAAAACCATTTCCGAGCTTATCCACGATGTTACTTTCTGTTACCTTCTTATCAACAAAGCAGAGCACAAGAACAGCAACACCAACTCCAAATTCAATTACTAGCTGGCATATATAAGTAAATTCAAAAAGAAAAATATTATATGTAAAGTTTATCTTGAAGAATTAAACCAGCAAAATCAGAAAGTAATTTAAAAAAAAATGAAGTATTTGTGTTGTACCCAAATAAGGCTTGTGGCCATAAGAGAGATAAATGTCACATAATTTTTCCTCCCGACGCAGTTATTAAGCCACTGCTCAGAGTTGTATCATGAAAAATCAGCAGATTGCAAGTAGACCAGGATTATATAAAAGATATAACAATACTAGTTTGAACAGTTAAATACCCGACAATGATGATCAAATCCATCAACACATTTATCACAACTTCTGCAATGCTTACTGAACTTGCGGACCTGTAAGGGAAAAATGGAGAATATGAAGTAGAATTAATCACACAGATGAATTCTAATTGGCAGGATAGGATGGGAATTAATTTCCCAAATGTTAGAAAAACAGATAAAGGTTATCATTTCCTAGATCAGCATGAGATGGTGAGACTTAGTTTATCTTAAAGTATACTTGTACATGAACCTTTAAACAAAGCCTCTTAAGAGGTATAACACTACATGGCAAAGTGCAGATAATCCTCACATCTACCTTCAATAACAGTTATCATCCCTCAACCATTTTAGTAGTATTTATCACCCAGGATTAGCATTTTTAGAAGGACAAATTGCAGATAACCTTCCTCACCTTAAATTAAAGGGTGATACGTTCTAATAAATGAGTTGAAGGGTGATAAATTCTGCTGTAGGTGTAGATGAGGGGTGTTATCTGCAATTTATGTAATATTAGAAAGGGTGATACGTTCAAATAAATGAGTTGAAGGGTGAAAAATTCTGCTGTAGATGTAGATGAGGGGTGTTATCTGCAATTTATGTAATATTAGAAAAGTACATAAATAGTGCACTAGATGGTCCTATTTGTATGTGCATGTGTGTGACAAGATAATAAGATACTGTACCTCAGCATTGCAGAGAGTACAAAATAAAGCATCTTCACCACCCGCTTCTTGCTCAGAAATCTCATCTTTGCGGCAGTCATCTTTTGCAAACGGAACACACAGCATTCCTCCAAAGAAATGGCAAGATGATCGCCTTCTCCTTAGAGAAACTCTCTGTGAGTCAATTTTTCCTCTTTCTCCAGGTGGAACTTTTCTCCTGTAATCACCATCTATAGAGCTTCTACACGCTGAAGATGGCGAAGATTGTATACCAGTTCTATTGGTCCCAAAACTAGCAGGCAATCCATGGTTGTCGTTTGGTTCACTGAGAATTTCCTCATCAAATTTCTCCATGATTCCAGGATCAGCAGGATTAATACGTGTACACCGAATATAAAGGACAAACACCACAAGTGCCTGATGAAGAAAAGAAGTTCAAAAAAAGCTAGAAGCATCAACTAGTTATATACTTGTATATTTTAAAAGTTCAATAGCAAAGACAAAATGCATAGGAGAGTGCCTTGAGAGGAAGATTACATACCACAGGAGTATATATGGCAATTGCCACATACTGAAAGATGCGTTTACCCAGGAAAGGAGCAAAAAAGGCATAGAACGCAACAACCAGTAGGAAGAATACTGTGATAGCTACAACCTAGAAAAGATAATGCCAGAAATGCAATTAATTGCCAAACCAAACAAATTTCAAGAGATGGAATTGCAGTACATACATGGAGGAGTATATAAATAAGATATTTCCTCTGTGCTAAACAATGTTGATGTAAAACAGATAATCAAATCATTTCTCCAGTCTAGAAATTTCTGTTGTACAATACGCCAGGAGAAATTTTAATTATGAATATAGAATATCCATGTATTTCCATAATACAAAGCCGTCTATATTTAACAGCCAACAAGATTACAAATTCAATAAGAATTAATTAACAAGGGTACATACCATGAGGAATAAAATTTGGAATGGAAAAAAGAAGTTAGTCTGAGGACGCAGTTACATGTACTGTTAATTAGTAGGGAGCACATGCTAATAGGAGAACATCCTCCACCACTACTATATTAAGTGCATGCCAATTTATGGGCCCAAGCAAAAGCAAGGACCTCCAAGAGGTCAACCATCCTAGTACTGCCCCCACACTATTCAACTGCAGCTTTTTTTCCAATGTTCTAAAAGATGCTACACTAACTTTTATGTTCATGGAACTCCAATATACTGTAGACTTTATCAGTGCATATCATTGCACTTTTGATGACATAAAGTTATATACTACCTTGATTCATCATTTAGTTTTTTCTCCAGATGAGCATTCTCTCATCAGGATCCGACTCTTCTAGCTTAAGTATCCATTTGGATGCCCCAAACAAGAACTTTGGAAACGGTCTACCCAACATAGTATTAGTCCTAACACGCATGCTAACAACGAAAATATTGGAACCTTTAAAACATTATCTTCTACTAATTCTTGAGTTTACAGGAATGTAACTACTGGAACCCTCACAAGCTGCACCTCAAGTGTGACCATTCATTACCCAGTGTAGACAGCCCAAATCACCTCCATAATTTTATTACAAGAGAGGCATGTTGAAATCTAAAGAATTAGACAGGTCATGGAAAATTCAGTACGAGTTCGTCCTTAAATAATTTATGACCAGGAGTTTGTCCATAAGAAATGGTAAAAACTCTTTTCACTTTTTAGGAATTTTTTTTGTTGTTTCACACCTTTGAAGCCCCAAGCTTTTACTTCAAAAGCCTGTTTAAGCTATCGCAGACTTTCGATGCATGAAAAATAGAAAAGAATTGTATCTAATCCTAGCTCCATGAAGAAACTATCATTAATTTAGTTGGCTCAGGACTTAGAACTTTAGTAGGCTTAGTTAATTTTAGAGTTTTAATTGAGTGGAGTCCAGTGTTTCAAAAGCAAAAGGTGACATAAAGGCGAGAAGGCGCTATATTTCTTGAGGTGAGATGCACCAAAAAAAGGTTATCACCTGAGTGAACAAAGGCAATAAGCATTAAAAAACATAAAACTAGCAAATAACATGCAATTGAACACAATGTCAATAAAGCACAACAAGAAAGATATGAGTTACAATCAAATGTCCCATGTCATGAAATATGATAACTCACATGACATAAAGTAGACATATAAAGTAGTAACTAACAAATAATAAACACTAACCAGTGACTACTAACATACATACATGCTTTAAGTGACAGTTTGAACTCTCAACTTTGAACATGTGACATTTTTTCAAAATGGTATAGGCACGTTATCAACAAAAATAAATTAATAAACCAAAAATAGGAGAAAAAAAACCCCGAAAACAAGGCGAATGTTACCTTGCCACTGGTCTTGGTCAGTAATAATCATTGATGGTTGCCAATGCAGGGAGGCATAGGGTGGTCAAAGATGCCCATCAAAGGCCAAGGAAGAAAAAGAAGAGGAAAGAGAATTGAAGAGTCATATCCTTACATACTAACTTGAATTATTATATAACCACTATTTTAGTTTTCTTTTGCGATTATAGATCCTCAATGGAGTACTTAAAGAAAATTAAACTTAAAAATAGGACGATGAATAGCCCCCTAAATAATAAAAAAAGAGACAAGGCACGAAAGATGACTTGCCTCACATGCCTCCAGCGATAGTGTGGGCACCTTTGGCACCTCATGCACTTGCCTTTGTAACCTTCGGCGTCTAACATACTGCAAGGCGCTAACATACAAAATCACATTGCCTAAGTGCCTCAAATGCTAAGGAGTGGCTCTTTTAGAACAATGGAGTCAACATTTAGCGGGACAAGTCTGTTTCCTTATATTCCATATCCATAACAGAAAAATTATAGCACCTTTTTGGAGTCAGAAAACACATACTTTATCATGCTTTCGAGTTTTTCTTATGGCAGTTTTTTTTGGTTTACACGCCTTTCCATAATTTTACGTAAGAGTTAGCTTAGAAGTGAAATATTAGCACACAATTCCTCTTCTTAATACAATCATTTTCTCTATCTCATAAAATAAATAAATAAATAATAAATCATTTCTCTTGCAAATACACAACCTTTCACCGATATTACAGAAGGCGCTAGGTGGACTAGGCGTTTGCGCCAGTGCCTAGTGCCTAGATGCCTAGGCGTACACCTAGGTGATGCTTAGGCGTTTAGCTATTTTTTAAATTATTTAATTATAATAATTGATAAAAACATGTATTAAATTCATATAAATTTGCCAAAAAAAGATAACAATCTTAGATCCACAATCAACTATGCGTATTTAAATGCTAAGTAGCCAAAATAATAACTAACAATGTTATAGAAAGCGCTAGGAAGTCTGGACCAGTCGCCTAAAGCCTAGGAGGTTTTTTTTTTACTTTTTAATTATAATAATTGATAATAAATGTTAATGTTATAGAAAGCTTAGGTGACGGACTGGTGTCTAGGTGAATTTCTTTTTTCATTTAAGTGGTGGTCGAGAAGTTTTTGCTAAAGGTCGGAGGAGGTAGTGGTAGTGTTTATGTTTGGAGGTTAAAGGAGTTTGAAAGAGGTCAGAGGATGTGGAGTCTGCAACACAAAATCACGATTAAGGCCTAAATGGTGCATTCTACGAAAGCAGACAATGCTCCCTTAAACACTTCTATAATCTAGGTAGGCAGCCTAAGCGTTAGTTAGGCGGTCTAGGTATCGCCTAGGCGTAGGCGTACGCCTAAGCAGACGAGGCAGAGGCTTTTTAAAACAGTGATTGTCACTCTAATAAGTAAATTAAGTCAAACTACCCTACTTAATAGTGATCAAAGTCTACTAAAGATAAATTTGCAGGGTAATATACAAGGCAGACCAATCCTCGGAATCGAAATAGAAAGAATGCTGAGATCCAAATAGCTCAGATGTCTAAACAAGTACGATCGTCCAAAACATCAAAAGGTATAAATGCAGAAAAGCCCATAAAGGAATATGAAATGATCTAAAACCTTTTAACTAAAACCCCACAAAACAAATTGAAAGATTCCAACTTTCCCGATGCAAGTTTTCTCAATTTCAGAAAAACCCCAGTAAACATTTTGAATATACCTGAAAGGTGTGAGCAGGGAGCTGCCATCCATGGCGCCTCACCATGGCTCCAGAGTTTTTGTGGGATCTTTAAGATTATATCTCAGATTCTAATAAAAGAGATTTAGAAAGAAAAACCCATGAGACGAGAGAGAAGAGAGGAGAGGAAAAAGGGGGAGTCGCCCCTTTTAGTGCAGAAAACAACAAAATTAACGGAATAGCACAATAAATAGGAGGAAGGGAAAAAAAAAGTTGAGGCCTTTCTGTGCTGTTGGGTCACAGAGACGAGTTAAAAGAAGCTTAGTGTTGGCTAGAGAGATTATATTAGGCCTTTCTGTGCTGTTGGGTCACAGAGACGAGTTAAAAGAAGCTTAAGAGTGGTGGCTAGAGATATTATATTCTCCATCTCTCTCTCCGTATATATAAAACTTAATTTGTTTCTCTTTCTTTTTTTTCTCTCTCTTTAAATCAAGAGAGTTTGTGGTGGGTCAGTCTGGCAACTATACTAAATCAAATCTAATTAGATGACCAAAGTTCATGTTAAAAGTTGCGGATAGAAAGTATATCCTAAATCGATGCTCCGATCTACAATTAGCAACGATCTACTCGTATCTTGACAGTGGAGAGAACTACGACGAACGAGGTCCCCCGCACTATTCATGACCCACATAGCAACCTCCGATCAATTCTCTCGAGGCACAACTTGAATATTTAGAATAGTGTAAGAGATCTGAAGTCTGCACCCGTATTTATAGGAGGAACTTCAAGCAAGGAATATAATCATTCAGTTAGCTACCAAATCCCTGTAGATAGGGATAATCTTAGATCTCACTAACTACCTTAATTCTATCCCAACTTATTTCCACTCGACTGAAAAATGTGTTGCAACACTCTAAAAATCAACCACAAGATTCATATAGTTGCCGTGTCGTGCGACCATCGACACTACATGCAACCGACAAGCTCTTATACTATAAAACCTTGGAAAGAGTGAGGGCCATAGAAACATTGAGCCCTTTGTGGAAAAAAAAGTATAGACGGACTCTCGTATACGTCAGATCAAACTGTAAACATGTCTCCTAATCCCTCTTAAGAAAATGATACTCCTTTACTGCAGCACTATTTGATAAGATCCACACTTTGTCAAATATGAAGCTCTAGATACAGACTCATTACTAAAGTAGATGCAGTAGTGATGTTTCTCTCGCACTACTGCTAATTCAATCTAAGAAAAGCTGCTTTTCCAATCACCTTCTTCTAGACTGAATCTATATGGCCATAGATGAGGAGTCAAAGTGGCAACACTATTACCAAATCTTCACAACATAATCGAATATCACTAAGGGTAGAAGTCGAGCAAAAAATATGCTCCACATGATTTTAGCTTCATAGGTAGCGAAGAAGGGATCTATTTGCCTACCCCAAAATCACATAAGTCGCTTAAACCACGTGGAAGGATCATGTGCCGCGATGGAATAACACCTCAAGGGAGTTATTCATCTCTACGTCGTGCAAATCTTAATCTAATCAGTGACCCCATTGCGCTTAAGCTTGTTTGCCTCCCACTTAGCAAGCATACCATTGCCCCTAAGTAGAGCCCAAACACATCTAGCTTTTAACAAGTCTTAATGAACCTGGGATGCTCCTTGGGTCGACCATTCTCAAGAATGATCTCACCTCGATTCTCAATCTAGGCGTTACAGCTCTTCCATGAATGCAACTTAATATCAGTGAAACTCATAATGCCACTCACTATCAATGTAATTCATGATGTTCTCATAGCCATCTCATATTTGCTCTCTCGATCATAGCGCCAAACGTGACTGCTCATGTGAATAAGCCAATTTTTTAACTTTTTTGAACATCTTCAATTGCTTTGCTCTTTATTTTTTATTAAAATAACATTCTATAATATTTCATAGCATTCATAGATAAATGTAGAGAAAAAAATGAATGTCAAAATAGTCAACCATATAAATTTGAATAAGTTAACAGAGACCATGCGCTCTGTAGCAATGTACTCCAAGATCACTTCCTCCAAATAGTTCCCTATAAATTTGAAGTTCATATCTATGTGTTTTTGTGGTATTTGGCATTTTGGCATGATCTATTGTTGCCATGCTATCATAGTACAGTCTAACTGGATTTGATGCAAATGGCACGATATATCCTATAAGAACTGTCATAACTAGATCACCCTTTGTGTTGCCACCGAACCAACAACAAACTCAGTCTCCATCATGAAAAATGTGACAATTGTCTATTTCTTGATGTACCAGGAGATAGTTCCACCTTCAAGCAAGAAAGCATATGTCAAAATTGACTTGCGCTCATCGTAATTACCTGCCCAATTGACATCTGTATATCATCTAAATCACATATATGATTTTCCACAGCAGAACACACAATCTTATGGACCTTTTAGGTATCACTTCACCCTCTTCATTGCTGTCTAGTGCAAGACTCTAAGATTAGACCGGAACGGACTGAGTAACCTAATAGCAAAGGAGATATTAGGGTGAGTACACACCATTGCATACATCAAGCATCCAATAGCATTCAAATATTGGGATATTTGTGATCTAATTCCATTCTTTACCTGATTTTGGACAAGATTCTAGCTTAGTTGATGATTCTTTTGAACAGGAGTGTCAATGGGTTTTGAGTAATGCATATCGAATTGTCTGAGACATTCCTTATGTACGTCTCTTTCGAGAGTCCGAGAATCTTCTTAGAATGATCTCTATGTACTCCAAGCACATAACTTGTATCACCCATATCTTTCATATTAAAAGTTGAAATAGTCAACCCTTGTTGGATGCTATCATCTCCTTATCAGTAGAAGACATCAGTATGTCATCAACATACGAGATCAAGATTAGAATAGTTGTTTGAGGATCACTTTATGTATACACAATGATCATCTTCCATCGTCATGAACTTGAAGAATGGCCCAATGAAACCTTAGATATCACTGCCTAGATGATTGTTTTAGCCCATAAATAGGCCTTTTGAGCTTGTAGACTTTGCGCTCAAGATCTTTAGATACAAATCCCTCAGGTTGGTTCATAAATATCTCCTCATCTGGTTCTCCATGGAGAAATATAGTTCTTACATCCATCTAGAAAAATTCCAAATCCATGTGATCGAGTGCTAGAATCATGTGAATTGAGGCAAACCTCACCACAGGGAAGAAAATTTCTTTATAGTCTACCCTCTCTCACTAGGTATATCCTTTTGCCATGAGTCACACTTTAAACTTATCAATAAAACTATTTGACTTTCGCTTGACATTCAAAACCCACTTGTTTCTGATAGCCTTGGCCCTACCGAATGGTCCACCAAGTTATAGATTTCGTTTGTCCTCATAGGCTCTATCTCACCTTTCATGGCGTCGATCCATTTCTCCGCATTGGGGTTAGAGAGAGCCTCATGGCAAGTATGTAGATCCATGTCATCTTCCAGTGCTATCATACATGCTTCCCCCTCAATCTCAAAATGACCACGAGGGATTAGTTGGTGATTGCTTTATCTAAGTTCTTGAGATTCCTGTGATGGTAGTAGAAAATCAATTACGGGAATGTTGCTCCTACTAACCCCAAGAAGTATAGGACATTGGTCCTCATGCTTAATTACGCTACTTGGTGTGCCTTCCTCCATCTCAAACAAGTGAAAGTCTTGGCTCAATTCCTATTTGCAGTGAAAATCCTCCTTGAGGAACTTTGCATTTTGTGACTTGATCTCAAAAGTTATTCTAATTTATTGTGCTCTAATGAACACACAAAACTTCAAATATTTTGAATAGAAAATAAATCTACACTTCTTCCTCCTTGGAGCCAACTTTCCATGTTGATGAGATGTGTTTGCATACATAAGCTGTGAAGCCGCATTGGCCGCAAATCGCCAAAGTTAGAATTTTCACTGATCCAGAGTTCATAAGGTGTAGGATCAATTGCCTTGGAAGACACACGATAGGTTCATAACACTTTTACATACTTGTCAAATTGATTTTGAACATCATTCAAGTAATGCTGCAAGAAACCCAGTGCCTAGACTTGTGGGAGAACAGGTTGACATGACCATATCATGGGTAATCATATATGAAGGTAATAAAGTGAGAGATTCCAGTCTAAGCCTTCACACTTACTAGTCCACAAATATCAAAGTGGATCAGTTGCAATCATGCAAACACAGGTTTAGTTGTTTCAAATAGTTTTCTTATAGCTTTGTCTACAAGGCAATGCTCACAAGTGGGCAAGATGACCTTAGAGAGCGAACCGAGTAGTTTGTCTCGAGTTAGGTAGGCCATCTGTTCAAGCCCTATATGTCCTAATCTAGCTTGTCATCTTATAGACTCGTTCAGAGAATTAGAGTTCATAGAATAGCTTTAACGTTTATTGGCAATCGTAGCTATTTCAGGTCTTTTGTATTGCAATTAACTTAGTTTACAATAAAAGAGAAATAAGAAACTTTTATATTATATGGGGTTCTTTTCTATGTGCCAATGAAGCATTGATCTTATACTCCATTGACGGTCTGGCTAAGATGATTGGTCATTTAGTAATTGATGATTTTCTAACTTGGTTACCTAGAAGATATCTCAATCTTCTTTTAGAACCTAAACAGAAGAGATCTAGGTGTGTATTTTTAGTGATCACCCCCTCGAATGAACAATCTTCTTCTCCTTTTATAGGCTAAGAGAGAATTAATAGAATTTAATTATGAATTATGTGGCTATTAAAGTAAGAGAGGCAGTTATCCCCTTGAAAATAGCCATCAAACACTTGATCAGATTTGCTAATTAATTAGTTAGCGAAGCTCGCTGAAAGCATTTGGAAGAGGCTCACTTGGATGTGGGTGGGTCATTGCTTTTGATTCATAGGTGACATGGCCCACATGGGTAGCTACAGATGTAGTTCACTGATAAATTGGTTGGTGAACTTCGATAGAAAAATTGATCATTTGGCAACCTTCACTTATGAGTTTAAATTTAGCATATAATTTAACTCATGAGTTGGCTGACTCAATGAAGCTTTTAAACTCGATCTTGAAGTCCAAATTAAGAGTCGACCTACTCTTTGTAGGATCTGTGGAAGCTCACACTAAACACTAGAGGGGGGGGGGGGGGGGGAGGGATGAGAGGGAGGGGTGGGGGGGGGGGGGGGGGGGGAGTGAATAGTGTTATTTAAAAAATTTTGCAAAGTGAATTATAAATTGCAAGAACAATAACAACACATCACGAAAAATTTGCAATCACAAACACGAGATTTATACTAGTTCCACCACCCCGGGTGTACATCCAGTCCCCAAGCAAATCCCACTTGAGATTT